AATCTAATATACTTTGTTTTTTTGGTTATGACACGTCAAGATAAAAATCGGGATAATCAAAGATCTAGTGTCCAACTCAAATTATCTATAATTTTTATTTGTTTATTTCATTTCGTCCTGACCCCTAAACATTCTAAATATATTAATATTTACGAATATAATTTAGTTTTGGCCAGAATTACAATTTAAATATCAAATTGTATGAAAATTTTACGCATGACGGATATAGCCGTCAAAACACATAAAATTCTGCCATTCTTCCATGACGGATATAGTCGTCAAACACACTTAACTGGTTAACGGGAAACACTAGGATTAACATTTTTCCTTTTTGTTCTTTTTTTTTCTTTTTTCTCATTTCTTTTTCCCTTTTTTTTTCTTATATTAAAATTTTTTGTCCCACTTGACAATGAAAGAAAGAAAGAAGAATAGAAAATTTTTGGGCAAAATTAACCTTGGCGAGAGAATACAACAATTTACATAATAGAACATTAGCATGATCGTACTCGTACCCGATTCATTTTCAAAACTATAATAGTACACTTTAGTACTCGTTTGCAGGGAAATTTTCAAGAGAAGGTGAGTAGATTTGGGGGGCAGAGGGGTGGGGAGGCTGTTTAAGGAAGAGTGGTCTTACGAAACAAGCTCAAAGTGTCTTCAAATTTCACTTGCATTCTCCCGTTCCCTTTCTTCGGTTTCCATGGGTCATGGAAAGACTTCTTAAGTATGGAAAAGGTAGGAGGATGTAAAGGAGTGGCTAAAGGAATGTCGGAATTGAATTTCAGGGGTACGTAATCGTCAGCAATTTGTTCAGGAAGCGATAGGCGCGACTATTATTTCAACCAATTACGAGACTTTGCGTTTAGCCCTTAACGAACACCCTCTTCTTCTTTAATCTTTCGTTTTATTATTATGATTATTATTATTATTAGAGTAATAGTAGTAGTAGTAGTAGTAGCTTGTACACTTGTACAATGAATGTAAAATTGCAGTACCCTTGCATATAAGATTGTACATTTGAATATTTTGGTTGTAACTATGCATCGTTATCGTGTTTGCATGAAAATTCATTTTTAATTCAGCAAAACAAAATTTTTTACCGAGTAAGATATACAGGAAAAGTGTGTGTGTGTGTGTGTGTGTATTGGAAGAAATTGATTATCGATTGTGCCTTGTAATTATGACTGGATTATAAGCAACAATTATTTATGTCATAAAGTAAATCATAAATTAAATTTTGTTAACTTATTTTATTATTATCACAATTATGATATACTAGAATAATTATATTCAAGCAAAGTCAAAATTTATGAAGAAAGAATTCATTAGAATTTTGTTTATTTCAAGATTAACATTAATATTTGACCAAAAATATTTCGAATGCATAAAATATTCATTAAAAATGTACTAGTTCGACTTGAATTCTTCCTTTTTCCAAATTTTTAACCATCGAAACGCGCAATGATTGTTACGTTCAAAGTTAATCGTCGTAAAATGTGAAATATGACAAACGATGTTAAGGATGAAATAGCACTCGTCTTCCGATTTAATAAACGGCCGTTGCTCTAGACAAATTACAACCGCAATTTCGTGGCCAGCAGCGTACACCACAATTAAATTATTGTTGTAATTTCCAGTACAGTCATCTACAAGCGTGCAAGACCGTTATATAATGTTTCGTTTAACACAATGTTGTCTTCATTCCAATACCCTTTTTTTTTTTAACTTTCTTTCTTTCTGTTTTCCGATAAAATTTCAATCATCGTCTTACATATATACAATATACAATATATATATATATATTCAAATAAAAAAAATGTTAAATGGAAGGTTAGGCATTGGTTGGAAGAATCGAAATAACGTATCACGTATGCATTGTGCATAAAGTAGGTTGGAATTTCGTTAAAACCATCCAAAGTGTGCTCCAGTCTCTTGAAATGGGCGTCGGTCTGGTGATTTTATATATAGAACAGTCGTGTGTTATACCCTACCTAGCTAGACATACTTTGTACATATATGTATATATATATATATATATATATATAAAATATAGGTAGAAAATATAGAAGGATGGAGAAACGAGTGGTTGGAGGATCGAGCCAGCTGGTTCTAGGATTGGCAGAACTCCAAGTGAGTAAAAATTGTCGATGCCCCTATGTACCTATTTCAAGCTTTCCTTCCAATCCTTCCAACCCTTTCGTAACCTCGTGGCACACTCATGCAACTCTGGATGCATCATTTGTTTGCTTTATTAAATTCGATATTGGTTGAGTCGGCTTTCATGTTTTTCTTTTTCTTTTTGCCAAAGTGTGTATATATAAATAATTATTAAATTTATTTATAGAATAAAAAGAAAATATATATAATTATTAATAAGAAAATATATATAATTAT